CCCGTCTCTTGACTGCCCCCTCCAGAACCTCTCTGCCCCTTCTCCGACCCCTTGGCCCCCTTGTCGTTGGCCTTCGGCTAATGTCTGTGAGCTTGCTCAGGAACTGCCTGAGCCATTCTCCCGGCATGCTGGGGAGCGGGAGAGGAGCTCCAGACTGCAGGAGGCGATCTGCGAATGCAGGGAGGGAGAGAGTGATTTCTGCTGCATGGGGGAGGAGGGGGAAGTGGAGGACGGGCTCTCTCTGGCTGTCGGAGCCCCATGTAAGTGATACCATCCGTCCGGCTGCCCTGTCAGCCGCACGCGCTCTGCGGGGCGGGGGCGGGGGAAGTCTGGACATTTACAAATTCCCCCCGGACGCTATTTTTAGCTCAAAAAGCTGGACATGTCCGGGGGAATCCGGACGAATGGTAACCCTACATTATAGGTTTTTCCGTTCTCGTGAGCGACTGGTATGGTAGATCTCAAATCAAGGGAGGCTACACTCAGAAAGACCTCAAGACTTTTGAAATATGCTGCTCAAACAGTTTTGCTTTTCTTTCTACTGCTTGTCCCTCCCTTCTCACATTTATCTCCAGACTTCAACTTGTCCAGATCTATTCTACCCTCAACAATCTTCTATTAATTGAACTTTTTGAAACTTTGCACTTCTTGAGAGGGGTAAGGGATTGACTCTGTGTACCCAAATTTGCAGAGGGACGATACAGTTGAGGTTTGTTATTTCTCACCTCTCGATATTATTTATTTATTTTATTTAAAAACATTTTTGCTGTTAACAAACATGTTATCTCTGGAGACACAAATCCACAGTTTGAGAACTGCAAAACTAAGCATCTCTGATGGTATCTTCTAGACTGAGTCCCATAGAGTAGAGAGAAAGATTAACCAAAATAATTTACACAGAACCCCCTGGAACCTCATAAGATTGGGTCCCTAATCCATGAACTATGGCAACTCTTTTACAAAACTTTTCTTAAACATGACATGAATATATTGTCTCATACTTTAGAATTTATAATCCCTCTTCCGTGATGAGAGATCTTTGACCTATAATGTATCTTAATTAAAACTGTCTTTCACAAGGAGTTTTCCTCAAAAAGCATTTTATCCAAAAAAGCCAACTTAAATAAAAAAATCACTTTGGCTCTGCCCACACGGGGGCTTGGCCCCGCCCTACCCAAGGCCACCACCCCCCATCCAGCCCCTCAGCCCTTGTTGCATCAGACTCAGCCCGCAGGCGCCTGAGGCATGGGGGGCCAGAAGAGGGTGAGCAGGGAGAGGCATGCCCATGCCGCATGGCAGTGACAGATACCCACTGCCCCACCCCAGTACCTGCTAGCCTTGAGACCCCAGAAGCACTTCTGCCTGGGAGAAGGGTTGTTGGCGTGGCTTCTGCCTTGGAGGCTAAACTTTGTCCCGTATAGTGAGATCGCATTACTACCCAGTGCCTGCTGCTGTGGGATGGGGGATGTCTCTCCTGCCCATAGTTGGAGGTAGGCTAGGGGGAAAGAAAAAGCCACTTAGAATAGCAGGTAAAGGTGCAGCTGCTGTAGCTGACCAGTTTCGGTAAAACAAGGTTTGGGGTGTAGGACTCCTAAAGATTATAAAATGAGCAAGTTCCCCTGTTGTAGCCTTAGGTTTGTAACTGTACAGAAATGGATTTAACAGATTTTATTAAAGCTAATGTTAACCTGTGTATTAGATCATTTTAAGAAAAGAGTGTCTGTACATCTGGGTATATCGCTTAAATTATCCCAAAGTACAAAAATTGGTCTGAAAGTCATAAGGTCCATATAGTCCAGGCTGGGAGGGAGGAGTAGGAAGGGAAATGTGGCGCGCCCGGGGGAGGAGGCGAGGCCGGGGATTTGGGGAAGGGGTTGGAATGGGGCGGGGAAGGGGCGGAGTTGGGGTCAGGTCGGGGGGTGCGGGAGAATTTTTTTTGCTTGGAGCCAGCCCTGATGCTCAGGGAGATGTATACATGGTAAATGTAAAATTGTAATGTACTGTAGTTCTGTATCAAGCTCATTCAATAAACTAGCTTCAAGGCTGTAATGAAAACAAGTACATCCAAATTGTCCCCAATAAAATAATTTGTGGCATCTCAGAAAGGAGTATTCTGTTACAACAGACTACTGAATATCTTTCATAGTTAACTTTTCCCCTTCCTTGTCTGTCTCTATTGCTAGGCACTTGTGATTCTCCTCCAAGATTGAGTTTTGCTGAGCTGCCTGGTGCAGTGAACAATTCCTATCCTGTTGGAACCAAACTGAAATACTCCTGTCGCCCAGGATACGTGTTGGGCTCTGGAAAGTCTCCTGTAGTTACATGTCTTGCAAATTCAACATGGTCAGTAGACCCTGAGTTTTGTGTAGGTGAGTGTCTTTGTTGCTTTTCCATTTCAATTGATGTGCAAGCCATCTTGACACAATTAGAAATCTCTCTTCTATTGGGTAAGTGGTTCACAGTTCAATACTGATATCCATAAACACTTTCTAAATACATTTTGGACAGTTCTTTGTTATATTTGTAGTTGACTGTATTTAAAAAAAGGAAAAAGGGGAAAAAAAAAAGGCAGACTGCAGACTGCTTCCCTGTCTTTGTAGGCTGCTTTAAGAGCAGCTAAAATACAAAATTCCAGTAACTTCAGCCTTCCATGATGAATACTCTCCTCTTAATCCTATTGAGGAATAGGTTTACCACATTTCTTCCTGGTTTTTGGGCCGTGTGCTGAATACCTGCCTTTCTAGAACATCGTCTTGTTATGTAGTAGTAGATCTAAACTTAAGAATAGTGCCGTTCTTCTCTACCAGAGACCCCATTGTCCACATAATGGTCCTGTGACTGGGAGGCGTTCAGTGCACACCAGTGAAGTTACTGGAATTTGATACTCTACCTACACTGGTCAGCTTTAAATGGAGTTATAAAATAAAAGACATCTAAGCTTTAACCCTCTTCAGTTTCCCTAATGATCTTGGTTCTTACCATCTCCCATCTTTTAACTTCATTAAAGTGGGTGCCACAGAACACTGGACAACTACAGCTTGGTGTGGTTAAATTAATCGTGTTCATAGTATTTCCTGTTGATAGTATGGGGAGCATCAAAAGTACTGCAATAAAGTGAAACACTTTGTGATAAGTGTCTGTCTTTTTTGAAAAACTGTAGTTGCTCTATCCCTGATAACGAATTGTAGAATTCAGCCATACTGAATTCACTGTACTAAAAGTATTGAATAATGTGTTACAAACTTGGTCAAAATACTAATTCGTAACAAAACTTAGCGAATACTTCTCTTGGCTTCATTTTTGCAAGTTTCCTCATCTCAAGACTATATATGCTATATACCATGCAGAAGTCCCTAGTCAATGCAGTACTACAGTAACTAGTAAAGAGATATACAATTGGATACTGATGAACCATAACTCTGCCTCCTTGTGCATATGTTTTTAAATTATGATTTAATTTGTCGTATTGAATACTGATGGGACTTTCTTGAATAGCCTTAGACTCACCTACTCTGGCCTGCTGGCTTGAGAAAATACTTTATATATAGGCCCTGATTCAGCAAAACGCTTAGTACCTTCTTAAGTCCCAGTGACTTCAGCGGGACTTGTTTTCCTGAATCGATCAGGCCTTAGTAAATAGGTCACAATTTTTACATGCCTTGTCTGCATTGAGAATTTTTTTCTCCAGTACAGTCATAAAGTTAGCACTTTTTATCTTTGCATGGCTACAGTATATCTATATTGAACTCCATAGAGATATGATGAATTTTTGATACAGTTCATTCTTCGTGGGAATAAGTCTACTGCGGGGGGGAAAAGCATCACGAATAACTCTTGTAGGGCAAAGAAAATTTCTTCCACTGAGCTTGACTGAGGAACACACAGTTCTTAACTGTCTAAAATCAGGATTCATGTATGAAGAAAATTAATAACAAATATTTACAAAATGCATAACAAGCCTGTAGAATGTAGTACCACAAAATGGAGGCAAGGAACATGGTAGGATTCAAAAAAGGATGAGACACTTAGAACCTGGTCCGGAAAACACAAATATGCTTTATATTGCTCGTGTGAATAGTCTGCTGCATCATAGACTTTAATGCTAGAAGGGATTGTTACATAACAGGCTACTTACATTTCACCAAGTTATTCCTTTACTGAGCCCAAAAAATTGTTTTTGACTAAAGCATATCTTCAAGAAGGACAGCCGGTCCTGATTTGTAGACTTGCAGAGACTGAGAATCTGCCATTTCCTCTGGTAATTTGTGCCCATGGTTAGTCACCCTCACTATTAAAGACTTTTGCCTTATTTCCATTTTGAATTTGTCTGGTTTCACTTTCCAGTTCCTGGTTTTTGTTCTGCTTTTCTCTGTTAGATTAAAAAGCCCTTTAGTACCTGGTATCTTCTCCTTGTGAAGGTCCTTAGTCGCTGTAATCAAGTCACCTCACAGTCTCTCTTAACAAGCTAAACAGACTGAGCTCTTTAAGTCTCTCACTGTACGGCATTTTCTCAGGCCCATGAATACGTTTTTGTGGCTCTTCTCTTTTGTGGACCATCTCCAGTTTTTCAACATCATTTTGAAAATGTGGACACCACAACTGGGTACAGTATTCCCGTATGGGTCTCAGCAGTGCTGTATACATTGCTATCACCTCCCTATTCCTGCTCCCCTGTTAATACATCAAGGATCACATTAGCCCTTTTTGCCCTAGGATCCCACTGGGAGCTCATGTTCAGTTGATTGTCTGCTGTCACCTCAATCCTTTTCAGACTTGCTGCTTCCCAGGATATAGTTTCCCCGTTCTCTAGGAACGGCCTGCATTTCTTGTGCCTAGATATATAATTTTCCACTATACGATACAAGAATGCATTTTGTTTGAACAGACCCGGGGGTTCCAGATTGCTTTGTAGGACTGCCCTGTCCTCATTTATCACTCCCCCAATCTTTGTGTCATCTGTGAATTTTATCAGGAGTGATTTTTGTATACTTCCAGACAACTGATTAAAATGTTGAATAGCATCAGGTCTAGTACCAATCCCTGCAGAATCCTACTAGAAACATGTTTGTTTGATAATGATTCCCACTGATTACTGCTCTTTGAGATGTTCATTAGCCAGTTCTTGTATGCAGTGGTGGTGTAGCAATGTCAGTCCCAGGATATTACAGAAGCAAAGTGGGTGAGATAATATCATTTATTGGACCAACTTCTGTTGCTGAGAGAGACAAGCTTTCACGCTTACGCACCACTCTTGGTCTGGGAAATGTATTCCAAACCTGAAGAAGAGCTCTGTGTAAGGTTGAAAGTGTCTCACCAACAGAAGTTGGTTCAATAAAAGATATTATCTCAGCCAATTCTTAGTCCATTTTACTTGTGCTCTATTGATACTGAAGTGTTAATTTGTGGTACTAAGTCCAACAGTTTACAAAAGTCTAGGTATATTACATCAGTTACATTTATCAAACAAACTTGTAACTTCCAAGAAAAGGTCAGGCTTATCAAACCTGATTTTTTCCATAAAACCATATTGATTGGTATGAACTATATTTCTGTTCTTAATTTCTTATGAATTGGGAAAATTTTGTCCTACACTGCTCAAGAGGTCAGAATAGATTTGCCTTTGGAATTCATGAATCCCACAATACCTTTAAATTATTATGCCTGTGAGTGAGGTCATGTTAACTAGTGTATAGTTACCTAGGTCATTCTGCTTTCCCTTTTTTGAATACTGGCACAAGATCAGTGCTCTTCTATTCTTCTTCAATGTCCTGGTACTCTAAGATTTATTAGAAGTTAATCAGTGAGCTAGAGATCTCCTTGGCCAACTTTTTAGGACGCTTGGGTGCAAGTTATCCCAAGGGTTTGGTTTAACAATGTTTATCCCTAGCAGCAGATGTAGTTTAACTTTCTCTTTAATTACTAATAACCTGAAAGTACTTCATCAGATTCTTCTGATGAGACTATGTTGTCATGCTTCTTTCCAAATACAAAAGGGGGAAATTTACTGAACACTTCTGTCTTTCCTGCATTATAATTGTTCTACCATCTCCATTTAGTAATAGGTTTGTACCATTACTAGGAGTGGTATACTCAATGTATCATCCAGACTACTGAGAATCTGTCACCCGTGCCCTGTAACCGGGGTGCCCGTTACAATGCTTTGCTGCTGTAGCATCCAGTCTGGACTGTTCACAGGTACCTGGGAGTGATTTGCACATTGGAGGCTATGTCTCAGCCAGCCATACCTTGGGTCTCACCAGCCTTGGTTATACTGCAGGGTGACCCCAACATACTCCTAGTATTCGTTTTGTTTTTTTCCCACCAGATAAGTATGTCTTGTATTGTCCGGGAGAGGTCTGGGCAATACAAATTCATTTAAAGTCTGTATTTCTTCAATAGAAATAATATGCACACACCTTGCTACCCAAATAGAGTTTCACAGACACTGCAATTTAAACACACTGGATTAGCTCTAACAAGTTTATTAACTACAAAGAGACTTTAAAGTGAATGCAAGTAATGAGGCATAAATCCGAAATGGTTACAAGAGAAGTCAAGATAAAACACAACTGGTGCCCAAGTTAACGAACTATGTTAAGTTGTATTTTGCATTTACCACATGCTCCCAGCAGCCTTACTGACCAAACTTCTTAGGTGAGGACCCCTTCTTCAGCTTAGTGGCAGCTTCCTTGTCTCTTCTAGTGCAGTGATTTGGTGGCCAGAGTGAGAGGGAGGAGGGGTGTCTGGGAGTTTTTTCCCTCCTTTTTTATAGTGTCAGTCCTGCCCCTTGGAAAACATTCCCAGCTCACAAAAAGTCTATAGGGAAAGAACTTTCTTGCTGCTTTTCCTCACTTTTTTTGTAGTTTGTTTTTTCTTCCTGCCTGATGACTGCTTACTACTTAAATGCAAATTAAGCAGAGCACACATTCATTTGAGACAGAGCTGTTTGCCAAATTGTGTTGTGGTTTGCAACATGAGTTAACGTTATACAGGGAAATCTTATAACTTCACATACACTGTTGCTATGCATTTTATCAGGACAACATTGACCAGTAAACTATAAATTTTCAGATACCTCACAAGGCATACTTTGTACAAATATTATTACAGCATTCTCCAGGGTGGACATGGGGTACATTTTCTTACAGTAGAATTTGTTTTGTTCCTAATGAACTTCAAAACCTTCTCCTTATTGTCTGACTCTTTCACTGATGTCTTTAGCTCCCCATATCAATATTTACCTTTCATAACTTATGCCATTTATCCTCCCCTCTCCTCCCCCCCCCCCCAATGCATTATGTTGCTTTTTATTTGTAATTGCTGCCAGTTGAGGTCAATGGATCTACCCACATGAATATGTTTATGTATATGAGTTTTCAGGATCTGGGCCTTAACATGTACAATAGGAATATTTGCACTTATATTAAATCTGCAAGGGGATCTTAAATCTCTAGATTCAGGGTATAAGGCAACCACTGTCTGTGTGGGATTAGGAAGCATCATCCCGCTTCCACTTCTCCTCACTTCCCATGGGCATGTTACAAAACTATCCATAATATGGGTTGTAAGATTTCCTCTGTAGCCGTTGGTGCTGACCGCTGTTGTACAGGACATATACTGGACTCCAAAGTCATTGGCTTTGATCTGCCATGGTATTTGCTATGTTAGAGGGTGCAAGTTAACATATCCCCTTTCTCCCGTTAAGGTAATATGAGGTAACGCTAATATTAGCTTCATTCTCTTCTAGGAAGACCATGTAAACCACTAGAACTAGAAAATGGCAGGGTTCATTTCACAGATCTCCGGTTTGGTGCAACAGCAAACTTCTCCTGTAGTGAAGGGTGAGTGGCAAGTTGCTTCTTTTGACTAATTAACAGAACCTAGATTGGTGTAAAAGTGCTGGTGAAGTCTGGCAAAATGAGAGTAGAAAGCCTGCTTAACTTCAAGAACACAAGTGAATGGGGTGCTATAAATCTGTATCCATGGACTTGGTCCTTGTTAAGAATTACACCTGCGATTTTCAAAGGAGTGGAAGGAAGAGAGCCACCCAGCTGCAGTTGTCATGCAATGGGAGATGGGCACCTAACTCGCTCAGGTGCTTTTGAAGATCCCAGCCTAGAGTCCTCATGGGATCATCCACCAGGGGTTGGATCTTGGGTCATGAGATTGAGTCCCACCTCAGGGGTCATGTGGCACTTACTGACCCGTGCCAAATCTCCCTTGTTACAGGGGTTTCTGTCTGAGTGCTGGGAGCTACTGGCAGAATATTGCCCATAAAATGCCACACCAGGTAGGAGCAGACCTCTTCCTGCTCCACAATAGCAAATATTTGTCTATCCCTCCCTTGTAGATGTCAGTATTACCTAGGATAGCCTCGGGTGCATTTGTTGCTTTTGTCCCTATGGGTTAATGTGCCAAGTCTTGGGGAATCAAAAATAGCTTGTGACTTCATTGCATTGAGCAGGTGTGTTTTGAATTTTTGAGGTCTCAAAGTTTAAGGCCAGAAGGGACCACCAGATCCTCCAGTCTGACCTCTTGTATATCACAGGCCACCAACGCTTCCCAGGGACCCACATACGAAACTCAACCAAAATTAGTCTAAAATGCTACAGCCCACGGGAGCTTAGACCATTATGTGCTATGGGCAGAGACTAGGAGGCCTTAAATACACAAATTCCTCGGGCCCCTGTCATGGCAGGGAGATTTTGAAGTGAGATATGAGATAATCCTGGTGAGTGACCTGTACTCATATGCTACAGAGGAAGGCAAGAAAACCCCCAATGTCACTGCCAATCTGACCTGGGGGAAATCACTTAACGAACCCACATACTAGAGCCTGAGCATGTGAGCAAGAACCAGCAAGCCAAGCACTGAGGTCCTTGATGCCACCTCAGAGTCCTGGCCTTTCCCATCCAGTGTCCCATCTTCAGCCATGGCCATCCCTGATGGTTCAAAGGAAGGAGATAAAAGAAACCAATTCAGAATACATTGGGTGGGGAATCCCTGCCTGACTGCTGCAGGGGACTGGCTAAAATCCTGAAGCATGAGCTGTTAGGAACATAACACACACACTGGAAACACACCCTAGGGTTGCGGAGCCCTGCCATCACAAGCAACCCCATCATATAATTGCACCCATAAACTTGCCTGGCTCTCTCTCAAACTAGGTTAGTTGCCCCCACAACTACTATTGGGTGACTGTTCCTCACAGAAAGATGGCAGGCAGAAACCATGTGTGTGTATATATACCGATATACATATGTAGTGTAGACATAGCCCTAGTGTTCCTTGGTCCTATGGTGTTAGATGTGTCCCTTTTTCAATGGTTTGTCTCCACCTACTGGCAGAAAGAAACCATGTTCCATCTTTCTGGATGGTTAACTAGCTCTTTGCTTACATGAGTAACAAACTTGAACCCTTTTTCTTTCTTTAGGTACAGATTAAATGGACCAACTTCTGCCCAATGTGTGGTTGTGGGAAATGGAGTTGATTGGGATAAGGAGCTTCCACATTGCGAAGGTAAACTAATCTAATGGTTTTAAGAACGGTTCATGTCTTGAGATGGTGCAGCATAGCTGGTGCTTCAGAGGAGTCTCGGTTCTTTCTTTGCCATTTAATCCAAATGGCAGTTGACTTCGGGGAGGAATGAAATTATACTGTGGTTCTCCATGGTGTTTGGATAACTCCTACAGAATCAATTTTTTTTTAAAGTCCCTTTCAGATTGTTCACCTGGCACTGTTTAATATGCATAATCCAACAGGCCTCATGGCTCCTCTTCACTGTTGTATCTGTGTAATCCTGCTGTTCACAAAGGCCGTGTCTACACTTGCAAGTTAGAGCGCATTAAATCAGTCCTGGGCACCCTCACTCCTGAGGTATTCACGCTGGCAAGGCATTTAGAGCGCCTGGACTCCACAGCTGGAGCACCCCTGGTAATCCACCTCCATGAGAAACATAGAGCTTGATGCGACCTGGCTGAAATGCCAGGGTGTCAGTATGGAGGGTGTGTTGCATTACTGTGCTGTGATTGGCCTCCGGAAACATCCCATAATCCCTTGAAGTCAAGTGGCCACTCTTGTCATCGTTTTTAACTCAGCTGCAGGCATGTGCATATCCCCTTTCAAAGCTCCATTTCTGACAGCCGGCATGCTTATCTGCTCCGGGACACATGGCAAAACATTACTGTGGAATGCTCCTGCTGCAGAGGCAGGCGTGTGCATGTGAGAGAGGCAGGGGGTGGGGGCTGATGTCGGGGTTTCCCCTTTCCCCCTGCTGCTGTCATCTGAACTTACAAGACAGCATGCTGACACACTCTCTGTCCCCCAAAACAGTCTCTCCCTCCACATACACATTCCCTGTCACACTCCCCTCTCCCCCACATTTGAAAAGCACACTGCAGCCACTTGCACACTGGGATAGCTACCACAATGCACTGCTCTCTTTGGCGTTGCAAGAGCTGATAATGTGGCCTGGCCATGCCACTGCACTTGCAGCTGACAGTGTGAACAGACGGCAGCGCTTTCCCTGCTGCTGTCTCTGAGGGCCGGTTTAACTCCTGGCGCTCTACATCTGCAAGTGTAGCCAAGCCCTAAGTAAAAGGCATGATAATGACTTCAAGAAGTTTTGACCCTTTCCAAATCTGACTATCCACTTAAATCTGAAGCTCTTTTGGAGTGAATCACAATTAATTTGCCTCTAACTTACTTCGGTCTCTTGGATGCTTTCTGGGCTTGGTCTGTCAATCATGTTGCTGATGTCCAGTCTAGAATCAGCTGCTGCTACAAGCCATGTCCTAGCTTAGTTTTCTGCTGGTGGAACAATACTACCTCTAGAGATGCTGGGCAAGAGGTTCTGGCTCCCTGAGGCTAATGTTGGGAAGGGGCACGCTCTGGTAAGGTCTTCTGCCAGAGCTGGTGTTTTATGGAGCATCCTCCTTGAGCAATGGACGTACTGGGTTGGGTCAAGCCTAAAAGCAGAAAAACCTTCAGAATCTGAAAGGGGTCTTACTTCAAATGTTAAAATGCAATGTTAAGTCCCCTTCCAAATGGCTACATAGCTTTCTGGGGGGAGCTGAGACAACTTTCTTAGTGAAACTCTCTTCAGTTCACCTTCAATGTAAACTTTAATTTTCATGTTGACATTCTTTGCTTCAGAAATACCTTGTCGTCCACCTCCTGATATCACCCATGGATCCCATACTGGCCAGAGTGAACAAGAGTTTTCCTTTGGCTCAGCGGTAACTTACAAATGTGACCAGGGCTTCTCTCTTATTGGAGAGGCCTCCATTCATTGTACAACGAAAGATCATGTCAATGGAGAGTGGAGTGGGCCTGCTCCTGAATGCAAAGGTTAGTAGCATCTGTTTTTTTCCTCTTCTTATTCTACCATCTCCTTCCAGGAAAAAGTATATTTTGATTGCTAAGTAAACCCATAAACCTGAGGAAATTCAGTTAGTGCTTAGTCCCCCTAAATACGTATCATGATAACTAGTTACTGTTGGAAACTAAAGAATGACGGACACTTCATAAATCACTCCTGGAAACCATTTTGCCTCTAATATATCCTGTATTTTTTTGTCTCCCTTCAGTGTTCCAAGACTGCAGTTAATTCTCATGTCACAAACAGTTGATTTTTAGGTGGAGAGAAACTCTTAAACTAAGGTTTTGCTTTTATGCCAGTACCCTACTACTCAGTGCTAAAGGGGAAGGAGAGAGAGCCTGAGAAGCAGGATTGTTTGGAAACCATATTTTTCAGAACTCTCTGGGAGGGCTCCTTGGCAGTGAAGGCTCAGGCCTCTGTGAGTTCATCTCACAGCCATAAAGTTCTTAGGAGGGGGAAATAAAGGTCATTGTACAATCCTCATTTGGGCGATGGCAGTGCTCACGCACACTATAGCATTTAGCTAACAATGCATTTATGTACTTGGTATTCAAGCAGCTGCAACAACTTGGTTTTATTCTTGCTGAGTTACCCAGCCTAACAGCTGGGATGGAGGCTTTTTCAGAGGCATTAGGCAGGTTGGTCACCTCGCTACTTTAATATTAACTCTCCCAAAAGCGGGGAAGTTCGGTTCCAGAATGTCATTGTATGTAGATCTCCTCTTGACCCAAATTCTTGATGGCTTGATACAACGATGATGTTTAACTCGTGCAGTGTACTGGAGGGGGATGGGGGAGGGGCCTGATAGTCTACATACAGCACAGCACCCAACTGTATGGGTAACATCTTCTTAAAGGGAAAGATCCAAACTCGTGTAACTTTTATTTTAAAATACATACCTGCTGTAGTCAAGTATCAGGACTTTGCATGTATGTATTTTATATTTATATATAAATATATATATATATATACACACTCATTAGTGCTCTTTGTAGCTTTCTCTGTGGCTCCCTGAATGCTGCATGTCTCTTCTGTTTGGCATGTGGACACGGTGAGTGTCTGATGGTGTGTGCTGTCTGGTAATAAGTGCCTGGCACCAGAGGAAGCATCACAAATAATTCCCTGTACCAGATAGGAAGAGTCTCTGCCATTGAAGTTGACAAAGTGATAGAATTCAACACTTAAAATGGACAATAAGAATATCCAGTTAATTGACAACTCTGTAAGTGGGATAAGTCTGTCTTGTCTCTAAAGATGCAGATTCCTAAACATTAGTTTGGCAAGCTCCTGACTGAGTGGCCAGCTGGTGATGGGAGACTGATGTAATGTTCATAACTGCTTTTTCCTCTTCTTTTTGCCTTAGTCATAATTACCCAGGACAAACCCACAACTGTCCCCCCCAAAGGAACAGAAGTAGCTGGTACTTCCTCAGGTAAATTGGAAGAACTTGGATTTGCTAAAAATCTAGAATTTGGGGTTCAAATTTCCACTTGAATAAAAATGAAATGTACAGTGTGAGGGTCATTTTAATTTCTATAATTCTGCTATTCAAAGATTCAAATATGACGGTGCTTGCCTAAAAACTTGACAGAGAGCTCGTTGTTCATTTGCACACTCCATGCTGTCCTGGTTTTCCTGCCTCTCTCATTGTTCCTGCGTCATTTCTTTTGGTTATCAAAGGCTTTTGTGGTTCCTTCTCCCCCTTCCACTTTCCAAAGGATTCCCACAGCGCTCTGACCTTGGCCCATTCCTCTGATTCCTCTCAAAAGGAGAGTGACGTGGCCAATACCGTGGGTAAGGAATATTATTGTCTGGGCTGATTGATGGCAGCTCTAATGAGAGCGATGGGGGCAGGGACCTACTTTTGGTTGTGTGGTTCTACAGCGCTTAGCACAGGGGGCCCTGAGTCATGACATCGCTATTGCAACACAACTGATAATACTGGCTGCAGTAGCGAGTGGTTACTCTATCGCTCTATGGCATCCAAGTACTGATCATTTCAGTGGCACAAACTCTGTTTCTTAGGTGTAGATTTTACGGGGCCAAAGATAGTTAGTCTCCAAATCCATCTGGTTCTCCCAAGGATGAGAATTCAGGAGTAGATAATTTACAGCTGAAAAAATGAGCTCTTGGAATGACGATGTGGGTAATGCACCTAATGTGTGGATCTTCTGCTTTGTGCAGACTTGACGGTATACCCCACAGAGGGAAAATTAGATACAATGAAGTGGGTAAAACACTGGGAGGGAGTTGACTCTAGCACTTTATCCTCAGTGCTTTCACTGGCATGCTTGGGGGGCTCTTCAAATGTTTTTGGGAGAGAATATGAGCAGTTGTGGAGGCAGGGAATGGAACTGGGCTTGTGGAAAGCAAATATAGCAACGAGTGAAGATTGTCCCTCAGTAATTGAGAATTTAGGATCGGTTGCTCCTTAGACAATACAATACAGAACATCGGGAAGTATTTCAGTTACTTTCCTGACTTTGCTTCTCATTGGCACTTGTCTGCATGCCGGTCATACAGTTTCCATGCATCGCATGAGAAATATGAAAGTCAGCTGTCTCAGAGATTAGCTTTTCACCAGCTCTTTTCACTTGTTTCTAAACCCAGACATGTTTCATGTACTCTTCTATAGATGGCTCCCTTGGTCTCCTTTGCCCTGTACGCCACCTTCTTTCCTGTCACTCGGTATGGTTGCAACAGTCTCTCTGAGCCTGTGCTGCGTTAGATCATAATCCCTGTGAGGTGGAGGAATGTCCTGTTTTGCACAATGTACTTACCTTGCATTACCAGACATAGTCAGGGTGAAGGATACATGGTAAATAATGTAAAATTTGAATGTACTGCAGTTTTGTATCAAGGCCATTCAGTAAACTAGCTTCAAGGCTGTAATGAAAACAAGTACATCCAAATTGACCCCAATAAAATCATTTGTAACTTCTCAAAAAGGAATATTCCGTTACAACAGACGATTGAATATCTTTCATAGTTAACTTTTCCCCTTCCTTGTCTGTCTCTAT